TAAAAATTAAAAAGAATATCAACCAAAAAATTCACGCATGCAAAGATAATTTTTTTAAAAAAAAATAATAATATATACTTCTCTTCTCTTTTTAAAACATTTATCCATGCCTCTGGCCCACTATGGAAAAATCCAGTGTCTGCCAAATATTCTTCAGCGAAACCTTCCATCAAGTCTACAACATCTTCGTCACTGGATAAAAAAATTTTCCGATGAACGATAATCTTTTTTTTTTAAAAAAAAAAAAAAAATAAAGGAATTAAAAGAAAAAGAAAACAATTTACCCCTTTCTGGCTTTTGACATATCCCATGCGATATACTTTAAACATTTATCTGGTAAGAATTGACTTAAATAAGCCATAGTCTCTGAAAATTCATCTCCTAAAATTCCCTCACGTGGATTTTTTTCTTTTGTCTACAATTCAAAAGCGAAACTATTGACGTTTTGTATGGGATAATATAAATACACAAGAGAAAGACAATACCTACCTTAATCAAATTCAAAACAATTATGGGCGCTCCATATCGTTTAAACATATTATCGAAATGCAATGCCGCAGCAGCAAAGAAGGGATCTCGAAAGTTTACTATGATAATAAAATAAAGTTAAAATAAATTTAGAATAAATATGAAAATAATAAAAAAAACTTACTGGCTATTGGCGGTTTTGGAGACATGTTTGTTACGTCTTGTGACCAAAATAACGGTATCGATCCACGATGTTGAACATAGGAAGAATAGTACGGGTTATCATAGAGACCGGATCGATGAAAAGAAGTTGTACTCATTTCCGATACGATTTGCTCAGTTTCTACATCATTGGCAACATACCCCTTAACAATTCAATCCAATTGTATAAAAAATTAAGCGTGAATAACTTGTAAATATACAACATATAAGATAAATCATTCACACGTGAAGGAAATATATACTTGATCATTAACACCACGTTTTAAGAAACGAGCCCCGGCAAAATAACGAGACCTTCGTGCAATCAACGTTACGAAAATATTTCGTCCAAAAATTGATATTTCTAATCATTAATTAAAGAAAATTCAACACTTTAAAAAAGAATTTTTTTTATTAAAAAGGTAATAATATTATTATAATTAATATAAATATTTCCACGTTTAATTATACTCACTTGACTGATCCACGAATCCGTGTATAATCGGAAGAATCCAGTCCGAATTATTTTTTAAGCTTCTGAATCCAGTTTCTAATAAATAATGATTCCAAACAAACATTTCGTTGTATGAAAAATTCTTACGATTTGGTGGATGTGTCATATTATGCTGTAACGTGTGTGTAATATCATACGTATAACTAAAATAAAAATTCTTCGTCAAGTCCACATTATTGAAAATATTATTATATCTGTTGAATTTTTTTTTTTTAAAAAAAAAAATTATTTATTTCGTTAAAAAGTCGAATCGTTCATAAAAATAAAAATTTATCTTGAATCAATTACCTGTATTCATCAGAATTCTTTTCAGGTTTCGTAGGCGGACCAATGGGTCTAAGAATTGTTTCATCGATATGATAAATATAATGACCTCCTATTAAGGCAACAGCGCTTCTCTTTGTAATTAATGAAATGTAGTATCCTTCATTAAATTTAATAAATCCTGTTAAAAATAAAGTAGAAAAAGATAAGTTATTATTTAATATACAACAGTGCTTCTTATTATGCCCAGAGAGTGACACACCTACAATCCCATACGCCATTACAACTTTGTTTAAACCTCCAGAGACTCTATTTCCTTCCTCAAGAACTGTTAAAATATCAGTTATTTCTTGTTTAGAATAGATAACATCATCCTCAATCACGGTGAGTTCTGTAGGCGTCGTTCGATCGATTTTCAATATCCGGAATCTGTTATCACTTTGATTAGATCCCACCATATAATAATTCTTTTATTTTAAAGCGAAAAAGAAATCGATAAATTGATCATTCTAATTAAATCAAACCCACACTATAAAAATTTATTGACAAAATGTTGTACCGTTTTAGTCTCATATAATATAAATTTATTCAAAACTAATCGATCAACTTTGTTTGCATCTTCGAAGTCAAAACATCCAATAGCTGGTGGCGCAGATAATCGGTTTACAAACGATGATTTCATGCTCACTTTTGCAAGATTGGCATATGAAAATCGCTGATTTGAAACATCCACGGCTGCCATGTTTACTTCTCTTATTATAAATTTACTTATTTTTTTTCACACCCAAAACTAATTTTAAATATTAAATATGAAATCAGATAATGAACGAACATATATTAAATTTAACTTAATTTGATTAATCATTATAAATTTTGTAAACTCACATAATTTACAAAAAATTAAAATAATCTCGAATCAAACTGTCTCCCACAATTAGCATAAATAAGTCGAATATATATATTTAAATTTGTTACACAAAAAGTGAGATCTAAACATAAGCACGTGATTTACATCTAATCAAAAATACTGCAATAATTTTTTTTTCAATAAAAAAATTTTTTGACAAAAAAAAAATGAATTCAGAACCTTCGAATATTGAAGAAGCGATAAATTCATTGTCATATGAACAGCAACTAAAACACCCGTCACCGAATGTTAAAGAGGAAGCTCTGTATGATGATCTCGACCAAAGTGAATACACTGAAGAAGAGGAGATAAATGTGTTATGTTCAAGCTCTATGTCTGTTTATCCGACACTTGAAATTCCGGTCGATTTTACAATACCCAAAACACCAGTGGATAAGAACGAGGAGTTTACAATAAGCAAAGCATCAGAAGATAAGAATGAAGATATACTCAAAGCACCAGTGGTTAAGAAAGAAGATTCTACAATATCCAAAACAACATTGGATAAGAATGAGGAGTTTACAATAAGCAATTCATTAGTAGATAAGAATGAAGGTATACCCAAAGCACCGGTGGATAAGAATGAAGATTCTACAATACCAGTAAATAAGAACGAAGATTTTGCAATAAGTATAGCATTAGAAGATAAAAATGAAGACGTTACAATGACGGAAAAGTAAATACTTAAAAACTTGGTTTAACATATTAAACATTAATCATAATATATTTATTTATTTATTTACATTAGCTTAGATTCTGATTCTGACTCTGATTCTAGTATCTCTGATTTTGAAATGGCGGACATAAATGATTTTGAGCAAGCCATGATATCTGTGGATCAAGTATTTTATGAGGAAGAAATGGGATTAGGTTCAGAACCTTTACGGACAAAAAATGAGATTACTGATATAATAATCAATAAAACTACATTGGAAATTAAACCTGATATGCATCTAACAGAAATTGGCTTTATACTTCATGTAGTGAAAAACCAAGTGGTTGTTAAACCTAGTGTTACTGGTGAATGTAACATTTTGGATGTGGGAACAGTTTTAGTTCTAGATAATAGGGAGCTTCTTGGTGAAGTAAATAATATTTCAAATTAACAAATTTCTTTGTGATATCACCTTTATTTATTTCATCAATTTATAAATTTCAATTTATTTTTACCAATAGATCTTTGAGACGATAGGTCCAGTAACACATCCAATGTATGTGGTTCGTTTTAATGACTCATCCGAAATTAACAAGGAGAAAGTCATAAAAGATGCAAAAGTGTTCAGAGTTAATGAATTGTCACATTTTGTATTTATTGGGGAGATTTCTGTGCATAAAGGATGCGATGCGAGTAATTTATATGACGAAGAAGTTAATGAAGAGGTGTAGTGGTTAATGAATTTTTTTTTTTTTTTTGACGATAATACAGATTCAAACTAACACATTTTTAAATTCCTATTATAGGAAATTGAATTTTCTGATGATGAGAAAGAAAAATTATACAATGCAATGCAAAAGCGTAAAATGAAGGAGTAAGTAAATTTACTAGCTAAACTTTTCATGTTAAAAATGTATGTAATATATATATATTTTTTTTTAATAAAATTTTGTATTATTAGTTCAATAACAACCAACCGTGGCGAGCGAGGAAACAGAGGAAATAGAGGAAACAGAGGAAATAGAAGAAACAGAGGAAGAGGAAACAGAGGAGCCCACCACCCATACCCGCCTCGAAACGATCATGGAGAGAACGGTACGGTGGATAGTACGGTAAATAGGGTGGATAGTGACTTTGATTATAACATCTTAACCCGTCCTCCTGGATAAGCAAGGAAGATTAAGAGAGCCATCAGGCAAATTTTAATCAACTAAATCTTTAAACTGATTTTACTATAAATATGACTAAGCTTAACTATGGTCTTTAATATTTATATTAGTGGTAAGTTGCCAGTTTGATAATACGTTAGATGTCTTGTGTAATCGTTTATGTTCAACAAACTGTTACTTTGAGCTTATAATGTTACTACTCAATAGTACAAAAAGGAATATTTATTAATTTTTGTATTTATTTTTTTGCGATGATGATTATAATGCGATTATGGAAACACATGTCAAACGTGAATATATGTATATATTAATGATATCACATTTATCAAGCATATCGAACTATTTTTATATCAATATTCCATCAATATTAAGCTATCAACAAATATGATTCATATCGAGGTATCGAGGTTACGTAAAATAATTTATTTATCACTTATAATAAAATCTCTTATATCGAAATCTGATTATAATAAATGAAATTTAATTATATTAATAAATTATATTTAAATTAAATTTTTAATCCTTCTAATTCTATTATAATCACTCTTATTTAAATTCAAACATTATATTCACCAAATTCTTGATTCTTAATCCCAATATTGACTCAAATATTATACTTAATCTTTAATGTTTAATGCCTAATCCCTACTCTAAACCTAACTCAAACATAAAAACTTAAAAAAAATAATGATATTAAAACTATAATAAAAAGATCTATAAAACTTAATTTCAGATTTTTTAACATTAATAAGATTTTAATATCATTTTACCACTGTTATAAGTTTATTTAAATTTTATCTTTTTTGCTAAAAGTTTTAATATTTTTTTTTCAAATCTTAATCTAATTATTACAATTTTATTTTTAAAATTACTTTAATTTATAAAAAAAATGTTTAAATAAATAAATTATTGTTATTATTCAAATTTAATAATAATTAATTTAAAAATCACATTACAAATTATATGATTTATGATATTTTATAATTTAATTATACTAAAAACATTTTTATATAGAATATTATTATCTTTAATAATATAATATATTAGGATTTTAGTTTATTTTAAATAAAACAAAAGAATACTTTACTTTTTACTTAGCTAACATTCATATTTAAGATCTCTTTTATTCTTACTCTTATATACCTTACAGATAATATAAGTTTACACAATGTAAAAATTTTCAATTACATGTATTTCTCTATCTATTCACATAATAATTAACTAATAATTCCTTTACAATTATTGAATTTAAGACTTATTATAGTTTTTATTTCCTAGTATACAATTAATTATTATTAAAATTCAAAAATAATTTGTATTAACTCACATTTTGACTCATATGATTGTAAAATTTTTATTTAAGTAAAATCTAACTGAATAAAAAAAAAAATTAAGGTTCTTGATTTATAACTTAAATCAATTCAACTCATTAAAACTTTAATTATTATATAAATATTAATATAATTAATAAATATTTAATTAAAATACTAGTTATTTTATAAATTATTTAATCAACTTTTATTTACAACTTTTTATATTTTTAATTTAAATATTTTCTTTCTTTTTTTTTTACATATTTTTTATTATATTTTAAACAAATAGTATAAATGCTAAAAAAGGATCAAACCAATATTTTATATATTTTAAAATAAAAATTTTATTTTTAATGATAAATTTTAATCGTAAATAAAAATAAACAAAACCAGTTTTTAATTTAAATTTAATATGAAATTTAAAAATCATTTTTAATAGCTAATTTTTCAAATTATAGTTAAACCTTCATATAATTATCTAATTAATTTTTTAAACTAATGATTTTATAAAGATGTAATTATAAAAAATAAATTATTTTATTATTACAATTATATTAAAAAATTATATATAATAATTATATAAATGTTAACCTTTATTTTTTTATTAAATATAATAAAATAGTAATTGATTTTTTATTAAATATAATAATAATTAATTTTAGAATATTTTATTAAATCTAAATTTAAATATAATAGTTGCTATATAATATAAATACTATATAAATTATACAATAACAGTTATAAGTATTTGATTATCTAAAATTATCATAAATTAATAATTATTCTTAAGTTTTCTAAGAATATAATATAATATAATATCTGATTATTAATAAATTTATAGATATTAATATTTTATTTTAAGAAATTTAAGTAATCATTAAACTTTTACTTAAAAAATAGAGTTTTTTTTATAAAAAAATATAATATAAAATAGTCTTTTTATATAAATATCTAGCTAAACTTAAATTTAATTTTAAATTAATTCTAAATAAGTATATTTTAATAAAAATCTAAAACTATTTATTAGATTAAAAGTTATTATCAAAATCAGAATTTAAATATTGTAAAAAAATCAGATCTGTCTCATATAATAATTACAAATAATATAACAAAATTATAAAGATAGTAAATAAAAAATATAATATAATAACTATTTAAATATAAGAAAAAATGAAAGAAAGAAATGTTAAATTTAATATAGAAATAGTAAAGTAGTATTTTTGTAAATCTGAGAGTAAATTTAATAATAAATTTTCTAAATTTTTACTTACAGAAGACTATCAAAAAAAAAAAGGTTATAATAAGCAAAAAACATAAAATTTTTAATTAAAATCAATTTGTTTTTACAGTAAAAGTATATTTTAATTATATATATCAAATCAAGAATTTATCAAAAGTTTATGATTAGAAATATTTTCTGCTTTTAGATTTATTATTTTACTTTAAAAAAACTTTAATGTTAAATTATATATTTTTTTTATAAGTAAAACCTTTTAAATTTTACCTTTAAACTTTTTAGTAAAAATAGTATAAACTAGATCTTACAAAAAAATAATGATCCAAAGTATCAATAAAAAATTACAAAAAAATAAAATAAAAAATAACATTGAAGTATTTCTTGACCATTAATATTTCAGACTAAAATCTTATAAAAAATATTTAGAGATTAATAAAATTAATATATAAAAAATTAAAAGAAGAATTTATAAAGAAATATAATTATATTTATTATAAATAGCATAAAATAATACTTATAGTGAAACTTTCATAAATGCATCTTCTATAAATATACACTTTATATAAATTCTCTCTAAATGCATAATAAGCTTTAATCTCAATTAAGATTGTTAGATAAAACTTAGAGGATTTGTAAATCTTTTAAATAGAAAAAGGTAAAATTTTGCTAAATTATATTAAAATCTTATTAAAAAATCTGCAAAATTCTAGAAAAGATAAAACTATATTAAAGCTTATAAAAATATCAAACTATATCAAAATTTTAGTAAAAAATTAGTGAAACTATAGTTTAGACATTTTATCAAATCTAAAATAAGTTTAGATAAGCAACCTTAATTCTAACTCATAAGAACTTTTAATATTTTATTTTTTATAAATACTTACTAATATTGAAAATTTACCCTAAAAAAATGATTTACAAAATTCATTGGATTTAATTTCATGTAGATCATATTAAGAAAGATCTTAATTGACATATTGTATTAGAAAATTAGATTAATTCATCTAATTTATAGGATTCACAAAATTAATCTGATTCACTTAATTTATTTGATTAGCTTATTTTATTAAATTCTTTACATATTTATTATTTTTATTATAGTTATTATTTTTTTATTTTTATTATTGTTATAATTTATCTTCTATTTTATATTTTTATTTTATTATCTTTATAATTATTTTATAAGCGAAGTTTACTAAAATAGTTAGTTTATAATATAGCAAGTAGTTAGTTATAGCAAATTAATTTTATATAAATAGAATAACTTTTTGTTTAAGTTGTAAATTAACTCTTTTACGAGTTTTAGTATTATAAATAAAGAAATCAATTTAAATCTATACAAATTTACTTTTCCTTCAATATTGTTCTTAATCTAGGATTTGTTGTAATATTCTACATTAACTTGTTATTTAGTTTATCATTACAAGTTTGACTAATATATCTTAAATTCTAAAATGTAATAAATTGTTAAATTGATTTAAATATAACAGATATCTGTAAGATTTAAAAATCAACTGTCACAGCCTTTTAATTTAAACGTTAAGATAACTAAAAATAAACTTAATGATAACACCTCTCTAAATACATATTCTGCTATTTTTTATTATATTCTCAATAGAAGTATACTTATGGAGGTATCACTATAGTTATATTTATAGAGTTAAATGATAATTATATAATATATTAATTTTAATGAGTTAGTTATGTATTTTAAAGAAAAATTTTTTGTATTGTTTATTTATAGTTAAAGTTGTATCAATCAAATACTTATAACTATTATTGTATATTATAAATAATATAGAATTAATTATTTATAGTATATAAGTAAAAATAAATATATATATAATGTATATCATATAATTTAAATATTAATTACTATACATTATATTCTTCTGAAAATAAGTAATACTTTTTATTATAATATTACTTATTATTAAGTAATTTAATAAAATAAAAGAAATTTGATCATGTAATTAGCAAATCATATAATTTTATCAATCAAATTTTATTTATAATTTATTATATAATATGCAAAATATAATTTAAATATTTTATTATATATAAATAACTAAATGAAAAAAAGTTATTAAATTATTAGATGTAATGTCAAAATTGCAAAATGAACACAAATTTTATATTCAATTAGATAAAATACTTGTCTGATTTAACATATCAGGAAATTTTACTATTAATGCAAATAATGATAAAATAATTTATATTTATAAAATAGGTAATAAAAACATTGATTCATTATTATTTTAACTTGTATTGCAAATAATCTCATTCTTTTTACTATTCTTTAATTTATCTAAAAATTTATGAGATTTTTTATAGTTTTAGTAATTAAAAATTATATTACAGACAAAAAAAAATTATCTTCTATCTATATTTTTAAAGAAAAGAAAATTTTACATAATAAATAAGTTTATAATAATATTATTATTTAGTTT